TCCCATCTCAAAACATCCAACGACTTGGAACTGTATTTAAGATCACAGCTTTCAAGATATGTTCCATGATCACCATCTCTATGCGCAACCATATCTTATAGCTATAAGTGAACTAGGGACTTTATCTTAAGTGCAAATATATGATAAATGTTTACTCTTAAAATAAAGTAATGCCTTATTATTTAATATAATTCCAATAGATTGTATTTACAAGTAGAATACGTCCAATCTGATTGGAACGCCGGGTATACTACTCCAACATGAAGATCTCCGAACCATTCTTTTCTCCGTGCTCTTCACAAAGCGCGTACTCAAGGAACTCCAACTTGTAGCGAGGATCAACAAAAACCGCCACATAAATAAGATGGTTCATATTTTTTGGATCCCCCCAATATTTATTGTATTTGGATTTCATTTTTTCACCCATTGCTTTGATATCAAGATCATCACTAGCAATCCGTTCTCTTAACAAACAATTCACCGAACTAATTTCATGATAAAATTCATTCGAGGTGACATAAGATGTGCCAAAAATCCTCAATGTTAGCTCGTAGAAGTGGGATAAAATATCAACCATCCTTCTAGCATGCTCCCAATCAACAAATGACGGTGGTCCATGTTTGAGCTCTAGTTTAAAGTAAGGATCTTTGATTTCATACCTCATACCTCTCAAATGTCCTCTCAAACTTTTGTGCAACATTTAACATCAAGTAAATGGAGTTCCACCTAGTGCTCACGTCTAAGCATAACAAGCTTTTACTTACAATACCTTCATCATCACAACATTCTCAAAATTTTGCCAATCTAGCCGGAGATTGTTTCACAAATCGAACCGCATGACGAATCTTCTTAATGGAAAACTTGATCTCATTTATACCGTCCACTACTACCAAATTGATAATATGAGCAATGCACCTCATATGAAGAAACTTGCCTTTCACAAAAGCACAACCCCGAGAAGTCAATCTAATTTTCAAATATGTAAGACAAGTATCATTAGAAGATGCATTATCGACGGTAATAGAAAACACCTTTGAGATTCCCTAATCACGCAAACAACCATCTATTTGCCTTCCTAAATCCTCACCCTTGTGACTCTCAATGGGACAAAAGTTGATAATCTTTTTTATTTAAGTTCCATTCTTCATCAATGAAGTGAGCAGTGATACACATATAGTTAATCTTTTGCACGGAAGTCCAAGTATCGGTGGTAATAGAAATAGTTTTTCCAGACCTTTTGAAGTAATTTCTTAATTTTAACTTCTCATCTAGGTATAACTGATAACAATCTCGTGACACAGTCCAACGAGAGGGAATTTTAAACCTAGGTTGTGCAACCGACATGAAGTTTTTGAATCCATCACCATCCACAAACCGAAATGGAAGCTCATCAACAATGATCATTCTAGCTAGTTGTGACCTAATGGCTTCTTGATTAAATTTTCAACTAATTAAACCCCTTGCCATTTCACCATCCTCAGCTATTGAATGCAAAACCAATTTCGATTGTTTTTTCTCGGTCACATCCGGATTAGCCTTACAAACAGACATATGGTGAAGAAGTGAAGATGTACCATTCCTTCGAGTATCACATCTGTACAGTTTTTTGCAATGTTTGCATTTGGCTCTGGATATACCGTCGACTACCAACTGTTCGAAGTGTTGCCAAACTATGGACCTTCTCGAAGTACCACCATCCCCTGCAATCCCGGGACCAACAGTAGCAGCAGCTGCCTCACTTGAACTCCCTGGACAGCTTCTCTTTAATTTTGAGGTCTGAGTCTGACTTGCAGCAGATTCATCGTTCGTCGATGGAGATGGACCAGATGGTGGACCTCCTGTCGGTGAATCTTCCGCCATCTCATCAATAACAAATTTCTGAACAAAAAGAAACCGCAGTAAGTACTATGTATTTCGCATTTTCACTGACAATTTTATACAAAAAAAATAATAATAAAAAAGAAAAATCAAAATTTCGTCTGAAATTAGGGCAAAAAATTAATTGTTTCAACTTTCAACTTTCAAGATTGAAGATTTTCAGACCAGATGTTGGATTTTCGGATCCAATTCTGAAAGAATATGAAGAAATGAGAAAGAAAATAAGAAGACAGAGAGTGAGATTGACCTTGAAGAGCGAACGCCGGACTGCCGGTGGGTGAGCGCGGTAGAGAGCACCGGAAGATAGGTGTTGATCGGGAGTGAGATTGAAAGACTGAGTGAGAGGTGAGAGTTGAGAGAAGTGAGAACGGCGGATTTGAGTTTGAGAGACAGACTGAAAACTGAGTGTAAATTAGGTTTTAGTTTAGGTTACAAAAATCGTGAAAAGAAATCGTGTAGCAAAAATCGTGTAATAAAAAGCGTATGTTGCCTGTATGTAATGTAATAAAAGTACCCTATTTTCGGTGCGGTTCGATTAAAACCGCACCCATCGGACGGAAAACCGAAGCGCACCAAATTTTTTTCGGTTTTCTGAAAATGTAATTGAACCGTAACCGAACTTTAAAAAAACCGCACCGAACTGCACCGAACACACCGGTTCGGTGCGGTTTTTCGGTTTTGGCTCGGTTTTGCTCACTCCTAGCTATATTTATATCTATATCTATATCTATATCTATATTTATATAATAGACCAATCCATTTTACTATATTTGTCACAAATTTTCCCGCCTAAATATTCAACTAAATTTGGCAATTACTATTAGACATTTATTTATTACATAAAACTAAAATTGATTAGCTCATTAAGGAATTTGAGAAGATTTAAACTAATTATTTTTTTAATTAAAATTTGGTCTAAAGATTTGTGAAGATAAATTAATTTTTTTAATCATATACTAAAAAAATATAAATGTATTAGTACAACTTTCAAAATATTTAAACTAATTTTTGCTTGAAATAAAATTTGGTCTCAAAGAAATGTGAAGATAAATTAATTATTTTAATAATATACCCAAAGAAATAAATGTATTAGTACAAGTTTTGTTTTGACGATTGAGTAAATATAAAAGAAATAATCAACAGTAACATATTAACAAACACACACACACACACACACACTTAAATAGAATGATTGATTGATTAGATATATTTTGAATAAGATCAATAATAAAACAATTTCATAATACTTCTGATGACATAATTAAAAAAAAATACTCATTATAATTATAAAAAATATTGTGATTAGTTTTGTTATCATCTCATGGTTGTAGATATGATTATGATAATCAATTAAAAATACTTAAATATAATAAAATAATGAAAATGATTATGTTTGAATTATATTTTTTTTTTCGAAACGATATAAATATTATTAATCACACAAATATACAAAAGTACAACCATGATCAGCTGAATACGATCAGCCAACAACTGAATAGAGTGGGAGGACAGCCAACAGCTGAATGACTGCCTAAAGCCGATCCCAACGGGTTAATACAAACAAGCACAAAAACACTAACACACAACAACACTAAGAAACGAAAAGGACCCCAACACGGTAATACCCAAGTATCTGCTCCCAACAGGAGAATAAGTTGATACTCAGGATCACAGGGGCCAACGGCCCAGACCAAAAACACATATAACACGAAAACAACAAAACAAAACTAACAAAAAATAAACAAGCCCTTCCTAAACAGCAACACCGAACCAAAACAAGCGGAAACAAGTCAACAACGAATCCCTTAGCCAGAAGCATCGCCCCGAAACTTCCTAAACCACTCGGGTGCCTAACGGAGACGAAATCCCCAACCCTAGAACCACAACATGCCGACTCGTACCACGGCCACGACACTCATGTGCACCAAACGGGCAAAGGAATGCCACAACCGCAGCCCCGACCCAAAATCACCTGGAAGTTACCAATAAACCACCTCCCTGCCGCAGCAATACTTCGACCAGCCTCAGTGGAGGAAGAATTGACTCAATGGACCCCAATCGACCCAAAAATCGAGCGAGATGAGGAATAGCTTTTGGTACCATCACAGCCCCGGTCGCCCAGCAAACAAGTCGCCGATCATTCAGGACGTGTCCCGCCCCAGGAACCGCACAACGACTCCACAACCCCTTGACGGAGAAAGTTCTACACCCCAGGTCGCTTGACTGAGAAACGCCCAACCTGCAGGGATGAACCAACGCCGGAAAATCCAAGGATAACGGGTAGTGGAACAGAGAAAAAGGACGAGAACCAAGTAATTGCAGGCCAGCGACCGCCGGCGAAGCACGGTGGCCGCTGAGGAAGGCAGACTACGCAAATTGAAGGAGAACTGGCGGAAGAGTTTTACTGTAGGGAAGTTTCGCGAGTGTCCTTTTTGCATGTTTGAATTATATTAGCTTAAAAATTTAAAAGATTAATAACTTTTATAAAATATAGTCAACTTAACCATGAATAAACTAAATCTAATGAATATATATTAATAAATTATATTTTTATTGTCGGGTAAAATTAAGAATTATAATTTTCATATTAAAATATCTATATACACAAAAATACTATTCAAAGTGTTAAAAATATTTTTTTTTTTTTTAACTTTGGGCCTTAGAGAATGTCCAGCGACAAAACCCTTAGAGTTTTGAACCCAGTCACTGCGACCTTCGATCCGGGGGTGGATCCCCCAACAATTGGCTTCAATTCAAAATTTCCGGTGCTATCTGCAAACCTTCTTTCGGCCTCTAAATGATCGAGGGTTGGCAAGCGGCAAGGGGACCCCTTGGAAAACCCTTCGACGTCAGTCCCCAAGCCGAATGCTCCGTCCCCCGAAGCACACGGCGCCCCGCCCCCACGGTGGTCCTTTCGGGATATGGTAAATCGGCAACGAAATCATGTGGATATAGACCCTAATGACGATGAGATAGAGGAAGATGATGCGGAGGAGATAGTGGTGGACTTCTCTCGATCGACGCTGGAACATAAGATTGCAGACAGTTTCTTTGAGCAAGTTAGTAAGGACTGGCAAAATGTGGTCATGATCAAACCCTTTGATGAGTTGATTACGATTGCGTCTTTATACAATCTCTTAACCAAGATGTCGCCATCCATGTCAGGCTGCAACATGATGGATCTCGAGAACGGGTTTTTTCTTGTCCATTTTCGGACTCAAGAGGTTGCGAAACATGCTCTTACGAGTGGACCTTATGTCGTAGGGAGTGGTTATCTACACGTTCAGCAGTGGACTATTGACTTTGATGCCACCAAGGCGGAGGTTACTACCACTGTTGCTTGGATCGGCTACCCGGTATGCCGGATCACCTGTACCACAAAAGAATCTTTAGCAAGATAGGGAGGATTGTGGGGAAGGTTGTTAAGATTGACCAACAAACGGCGGCCCGCACTCGAGGCAAGTTTGCCAGGCTTATTGTACTGGTAGATATTTCGAAGCCGCTCTATGCCAGCTTCTTTATCAACTGGAGAACTCAAAGAGTGGAGTACGAGAGCCTGCCCAATATTTGCTTCCAATGTGGTCGAGTGGGACACTCGAGCATCGCGTGCCCCCATCAGGCCCCGCCCAGTATGAATGTTGAGAAGCCAC